AAAATAAAAATGCCCAAGTTCAAAATGCCCAAGTTCGGGATGCCGGGGCTGAAAGGAGAAGGCCCGGAGGTGGACGTGAACCTGCCGACAGGAGACCTGGATGTTTCTGTTCCGAAGGTGGATATTGAAGGTCCGGAGCTGGACATTGAAGGGCCAGAGGGGAAGCTGAAGGGCCCCAAGTTCAAGATGCCCGAGATGCACATCAAGGCGCCCAAGTTCTCCATGCCCGACGTTGACTTCAATCTCAAGGGCCCCAAGCTGAAGGGCGACGTGGACGTGTCTGTCCCTAAGCTGGAAGGTGACCTGAAGGGTCCCGAGGTGGACATCAAGGGCCCCAAAGTCGACATCGAGGCCCCCGACGTGGACATTCACGGTCCGGAAGGTAAAATAAAAATACCCAAGTTCAAAATGCCCAAGTTTGGGTTGTCCGGGTTGAAAGGAGAGGGCCCAGAAGTTGACGTAAATCTACCTGAAGCCGATGTTGCTCTTTCGGGTCCAAAGGTTGACGTTACCCTTCCTGACCTGGACGTTGAAGGCCCGGAAGGAAAACTTAAGGGCCCTAAATTTAAGAAGCCCGACGTGCAATTCAATGTTCCTAAAATCTCCATGCCAGAGATTGACTTAAATTTGAAAGGCCCCAAACTGAAAGCTGACCTTGATCCTTCTCTTCCCAAAATAGAGGGTGAGCTGAAAAGCCCGAAGCTAGACATCAAAGGGCCAGAATTTGAGGTCGAGGGCCCGAAGCTTGATCTAGAAGGAAAGGCTAAAAAATCTCGGTTTAAACTTCCAAAATTTGGCTTTTCTGGTCCTAAAGTGCAAAGCCCTGACGTGGATGTGAAACTTAAAAAACCGGACGTTGAAATAGCTGGTCCGAAAGTCGACGTTCACGCTCCAGACGTGGATGTACAGGCAAAATCAAAAGGGTCGAAATTTAAAATGCCTTTCCTGAGTATTTCATCACCCAAAGTTTCAATGCCAGACGTGGAGCTAAATCTGAAAGGGCATAAACTAAAAGGAGAGTTAGATGTTTCCAGCCCGAAGTTGGAAGGGGAACTGAAAGGTCCCGAGGTGGACATCAAGGGCCCCAAAGTTGACATTGAGGCCCCCGACGTGGACTTTCACGGGCCGGAGGGTAAACTCAAAATGCCCAAGTTCAAAATGCCCAAATTCGGTGCGTCCGGGTTTAAGGCCGAGGGGCCAGAGGTGGACGTTAGCGTTCCGAAAGGAGAGCTGGATGTTTCGGGTCCTAAGCTGGATAGCGAAGGTGCTGGTTTCCAAATTGAAGGGCCAGAGGGGAAGTTCAAGGGCCCCCAATTTAAGATGCCGGAAATGAACGTCAAGGCACCCAAGATCTCCGTGCCCGACGTTGACCTGAACCTGAAAGGCCCCAAAGCAAAGGCGGATATGGACATGTCTCTGCCCCAGGTGGATCTGAAGGGCTCGGATTTGCACGTGAAAGGACCAAAAGTGGAGGTAGAGGTTCCTGACCTTGACCTTGAAGGTCCCAAAGGCAAATTGAAAGGCCCCAAATTTAAAATGCCTGAAATGAATATCAAGGCGCCCAATATTTCCATGCCTGACTTTGATTTGAATTTGAAAGGTCCCAAGTCAAAAGGAGGTGCGGACGTTGATCTTTCAGTGCCAAAACTGGAAGGGGACTTGAGTGGGCCGGACGTCAGCATCAAAGGACCAAAGGTTGACATGGATGGTCCTGAGCTGGATGTTGAAGGGCGAGAAGGAAAACTGAAAGGTCCCAAGTTTAAAATGCCGGAGATGCACATAAAGGCTCCCAAAATTTCGATGCCTGATGCCAGCTTAAACCTCAAAGGTCCCAAGCTGAAAGGAGACGTAGAAGGTTCTGCTCCGAAGCTAGAAGGGGATTTTAAGGCTCCCGACATCAATATTGGAGGCCCCAAGGTCGACATTGACGTGCCAGATGTGGACATTCAGGGCCCAGAGGGTAAACTCAAAATGCCCAAGTTCAAAATGCCCAAGTTCGGGATGCCTGCCCGAGATGCACATCAAAGCACCCAAGATCTCGATGCCCGACATTGACTTGAACCTGAAAGGCCACAGAGTGAAAGGGGATGTGGAGGTGTCTGTTCCCAAGCTGGAAGGTGACCTGAAGGGTCCGGAACTGGATATAAAAGGACCCAAAGTCGACATAGATGTTCCCGATGTGGAGATTGAAGGACCAGAAGGAAAACTGAAAGGCCCCAAACTGAAGATGCCCGAGATGCATTTTAAGGCTCCTAAAATTTCTATGCCGGACTTTGATTTGAACCTGAAAGGCCCGAAAGTGAAAGGGGATGTGGACGTGTCCGTGCCGTGTGTGGAAGGTGACCTGAAAGGGCCGAAAATTGATGTCAAAGGTCCTGAGTTGGACGTTAGTGCCCCCGATGTTCAAATCGAGGGCCCAGAAGGGAAGGTAAAGGGTCCCAAATTTAAGATGCCCGACATGCATTTCAAAGCCCCCAAAATCTCCATGCCGGACTTTGACCTGAACCTGAAAGGCCCCAAAGTGAAGGGGGATGTGGACGTTTC